CTGAAGCTAACCATACAGTTACTTTCAAGAATTGTGACATATATTGATTTGTAGAAGTTCAGTTTCAGAGCAACTTCTCACTACTTCGTTCAGGTAGATTTCTTGGCCAAATTGATTCAAATAAAAGACTAATCCACTCCTTGTGTTCTTCTGATCCATGTGCTCTTTATAGTTTGCAATTTCATTGAGAATTGAGTGAGATATCCTAGATTTTCGTGCTCGCTATTTTTTCTGGTTTTCTTCAAACACAGCCCTGCATAATTTATATAAATTTGGCGTGACGGTACCATTAGAATCGTCTTGAAGAGACGAATCTAACGGTACCAGTTTGGTTTGTTAATTTTATAGTTCGAAGGATTCAATTTGGGGATGGCTGGAGGTTGAAGACGATGACATGTCTGTCTTCAACCAATGACACGAAGCCACATTATTTTTTTTGAAATGGATACAATATGCTTGCCTTACCATGCGCGTGCCCCATGAGCCCTTGGATCTGATTACTTTTGTGAGTCATACTTCATCCAATGCGCCACATTTTAAGTTGTTTTATTTTTAAAATGTTGGATCCGGTGTGATATTTAGTAATGACCATGATATGCACAGCGCGCCAGATCCCTTGGATTTGATTACTAACGCGTTTTAACTCTCATCTATTGGTCCACATCTTTTTGGTTTTTATTTTCTTTTCTGATTTTTATATTTAATTGTTTTAAATTTCAAAAAATCATAGAAAATTCATTTTAAGTCCAAAAAATATGAAAAAATTATGAAAAATATTTTTAATTTTCTCTTTCTGATTTTTATTTTTTCATAATTTTATTTTTTGTTTTGATATTTTTTATAAATTTTCACTTTATTTGAATCGTTTTAAATGTTTAAAAATACTTTTATGTATTTTTAAATTCTGAAAAAATTATAGAATGATTCAATAATATTGTGACAAATATTGGTGACCTTATTTATTTTTTATTTCTGATTTTGTTATTTTTTTATCATTTTTGGTTTATTTTACTCATTTCTTTTAATTTTAAAAATAGTTTCTGACTTTAAAAAATTACCAAAAATTTTATAAAAAATATTTGAGTGTTTTTCTGATTTTTCTATGGTCTTGATTTTTATTTCTTAATTAATTTGAACATGGTTGATATTTTTCTCTTTTATTTCTATTTTAAAACATTTTCAAACATTTTTTAATGTATATATTAAATGCAATATTATTTTGTGAATATTTTCTAACTGATCTTGGGTTGAATTTAGATCATGAACTTTATCAACATCATTGGGTCCATGGTGTTGAGTCTAACTCCATAAAAATGGATGAATGATTTTAATAATAGTTTGATTAAAACTTAATTCAAAAGTAGTTTGTATTTTTTCTCATCCCTCTTCATCTCATCCCTTTCTTATTGCACTAAGTGTTATTGGAGCATGATCTCAATATCATGTCTCAAAACAAATGGTGCATAGATTGCTATTGACCGACCTCAAAATAGGTGCGACTTCTATATAAGTCCACTTACGATTGCTTAACATAGAGCTAAATTTTGTCCCGATTCGAATAAATGATCATTCGTGGTCCAAACCTATGTTTGCAAGCCCAAGTATGTTAATTTGATCTATTTGATCCAATAACCTTGAGATTCATTGTGTGGATGCTTTGGTTCTACCAATCCTCTAATGGATCTTCATCAATTTTGGTCAATGCGGATCACTTAAACATCGTTGATTATTACATGTTACTTTTGAGGATTCCAAATAGATTACATACTTGACAAAAAGAAAATGCAACTTGTTGTGTGGAGGCTCTGGTTCTACCAATCCTCTAATGAGTTCCAAATGCAAGTTTCAAGATGATCATCCAACTAACCATTAATTATTAAATTGTTTTACTTTATACTTTTATTTTTATGCTTTATGTACCATTTACTTTAAGTATTACATTTTATGCCATTTTTATTTTTTTCACTTGAGCATTTACTTTCTTGTCATTTTCATTTTTGCTCACTTGAGCTTTTTCTCTTCTTCTTTAAGATACCTAATAATCAACATGAACCATAAAAAAACTTTAATGATATTTGGACTATTTGATTGATATCCTTGGTATTATTGAGTATTGGACTTCTTGGACTTAGGATTAGAAACTTTGGCCTATATTGGAGACCTTGGACCTTAATTGATATTTTGTCTGGAGTTCTTGAGGTTTACCTCAAGACATTGAGTTGTTTGTTTGTTTTGTGTGCAGGTTATTGTGATTACATTCTTTATTTATATGATACGGTAGCAGAACCGACAGTTAATACTGGTTTGCATTTTTTGTTCGCAAATATTGCGGTAAGCAAGAGTCGCCACCGACTTTTATTTTATCCAACAAGGAAAAGGAAAAAGAACAGAAAAACATTTTTCGAGATATTTCTGAGTACGGGGGGGGGGGGGGGGGTAGATTATAGAAAGGGAAGACCCTTTCTACTTAAATGGACCAATGTACTAATTATGTGGGTCCTTTAACCCAAAACGAAATTAAATTCTCTATGCACCCTATTCTTTTAAAATGGACTAAAAAAATTCTACATGGGCCTTAACAAGAAACATGGACTACTCACACCTCCTTGACTAAAATAATACATCTCTCTTTTAAATTTGAAACAGACTTTTAAAATCTAATGGACCATGAGATATTGATGGTCCATTTTATATTAACACACTCCCTTTGACTTTAAACACCCCCATAAAAGTAGAAACTAAATAATATAATTTATTTAAAGGAAACCTAAATATAATATTAGGATAGGGCAAATTTGAGGTATGACACAAAGGCACGGGACTGGACCTCCCCAGAGGAAAGTGTCTGTCCGATCCAGAATACTATTCATGGATAATTGGGGCGTTTCTCCAAATTCTAGTTCGGGCTCCTCTTCGGAGTTTTCAACATCATCTTCATCTGTTACTAACATTATCCAAAGTTTTTATTTCTGCATACATGAGAAGTGCTCCATTTTTCTTCACAACAAAAGCATTCTCTTTTCTTCCTATTTTCTTGAAGTTCTGCTTCGATTAATCGTTGAAATTATCTAGGTCGGTTGTTGTTCTCTGATTTGTTCACGGATACACTGCCCGCAAAAGAATTAGAAGGGCCATTACTTTTTCCTCCAACTTTCTGACTAACACCATAAGTAACAGCCTTCGAATGGGATGGACTTCGATACGAGTTGTTGAATTTTGAATTTGAGTTAGAAGGAGCATTCGGTCCCACCTTCCAAATTGCTCTATTTTTTTGTTCGATCATTAATGTCTTCTTGACCATGATTGAAAAAATGGATGATTCGTAGAGTTTAATTTATGCCCCAATGTCTTCCTTTAATCCATTCACAAAAAAGTCCTCTAAATGTTCTTCATCGACATTTTTCAGCATGCCTGCAAACTTTTCAAATTGTTCAACATACACTTCCATTGTTTCTTCTTGTTTAAGTGCAAGGAGGGCAACAAAAGGGTTGAGTGTAGCTGAAGTTTGAAACCTTTCAAGAATGGCAAGTTTGAAATCTTCTCATCCAATATCAGAATTGCAATTCTCTCACCATTGATACCAAGATAGCGCCTTTCCCTCTAGAGCCACCATAACTGCCTGAATTTTCTCTTCTTCTAGGATGTCCCTCATTTGAAAGAAACGTTCCAATTTATTTATCCAACCATAAGCATCAGATTCTCCATCATATATGGGAATTGCCAATTTTCTCCAACGTTCTATTTTTCTTTCTCCGGTGTGGACCTTGGTTGAATGTTCTCCATTGATGGAATCTTTGAGTGTGCCATCTTCTGAATGCTTGGATCTATTTTCCACCATGGCTTCTAGGCGTGCAAAGCGTGTTTCGAATTGTTGTCGTTCTGCATCTCAGTTTTATCGGTCTGCCAATAACATTTCCAAATTCTCTCCATTGTATCTGAATTTTCGGAATTAGATCGAGTTGTCACCATAGTTGAAAGCAAAACACTTAGACGGTGCTCTGATACCAATTGATAAGAACCAAACAAAATGGAATAGAAATGAAAAGATGAAAATTGAAATTTATGTAGATAATTTTAAAAATTACAACTGAAATTTATGTAGATAATTTTGGAATATTACAACACATGTTTTCGAGAACCTATCTCTCCATAATTCAAATTTAACACCCGTTCTTAATTGGCACAATTAATCTGAAGGGTTGTGACTGTTATATTTCATGTTGTTTGGTTCCAAGGGTTACATCCTTTCTGATGGGTGTGTCTGTTCACCAAGGGTCACACCTCCTGATTCACATCTCTTGACCCTGCACTCCTTGGGCATCTGCCTGCGGGTGTAAAACTTGGTGATGGGTGGCCTAGACTTATCATTTGAAAAGAATGAAAATGAACTAGTGATTTATGAGCACTCATTGCAATGAAAAAGGTCTTGTCTCCCAGTTCAGACAATTTCTCTTTCAATAACATAATTCACAAAGCAATAACAAGCAAGCAAAAAAGCATTATCAAGTGTTGAAAATCTTGATGACTCATTAAATTTAAAGCTATCAGTTACATTGCATTCTCTAAGAGAGAACCATCAGCTACCATACCATAACATGAAAAAAGAAAGACTGGACAGCACTTCCATTCTAGTCTCTAGATCTGTATCAAATACCAGTACCATAATCGGCAAACTACCAGTGATCGTTATCCTCATTTACAGCCTTACAGCTCTTTGATGGCATAAATAAAACAGCAATAGCACAAAGCAAATGTAGTATACTGTTATCAGGCATTAAAAAAAACTAGATAACTCAGTACATTTTAACAACAATAACATGGTATTTCTCTCAATGTAACTCCATAGAAAGATAAATACCACAAAAAAGTTTCAAAATAAAATACAAGTACATTTCACCACCTTACAAGGTGATCCTTTCGGAAGGGCGATAAAGAGTAAATAACCTAAAGCATGAAAGGGCGATAAAGAGTAAATAACCTAAGCATGAAAACTGATCTGCTTAACGCCCTCTTTCAAATCCAATGCGAGTCCTGCCAGAACCTCCATCAGAACTATCTCGCATTGAAGATCCAGCACTAGCTCTCATAGTTCCTCCCCCACCTACATTTTCCATGGCCTTCTTACCCTTCTTGACCTCAGTCAAGAACTGATCAAGACCAAATGGATCAGCTTCTTCACTCTCAAACTCAACCGGCCTATCCCTTGGACCTGCCCTTTCGGAAGCCCCTGTAAATCCTTTGTCAGGCTTAAAACGATCAGTCTTCATAATCTTCTCCAGCTGCTCATTTGCACCTCCATAAGTTTCATCATCAATATCCTTCTTTGGCCTGTAAAGGGTGGAAAGTGTTGGCTGTGCAGTAAACAAACCTTTGTCATACACATTATACTGATCATCAGTGGCAAATCCAGAAGACATCCCTTTATCCTGGTTGAATAGCCTTTCATCATACATGACCTCTGTCCCTTGCTTAGTAGAAGCCAAACCAAGAGCAACTTTCTCACTTATATCACGATCCCTATCTCTAGTAATCTTGCTCTTCTTTCCCATGGCAGCATCCTTGGCCTCCAATCTTCTCTCCCTTTCCCTCTCCTTTCGCCTTTCCTCACGAATCTTCTCACGTTGCAGCCGCTCCTCCCTTTCTTCTCTACTCTCCTTAGTGAAGTTCTTTTCCCTTTCCCTGTCCCTGTCCCTATGCTCATAATCAACTCTCATATCACCATCATCAACACCACTCTTATTCGAAGCAACAGGAACCGCAACAGCCGCTGGAGGTGCCACACCAATTCTCTCTGATCGAGCTTTCTGAGCTAAAGCCCTCAGCTCCTGTTCCTTCCTTTCCTTCTCCTTCAAAAGCATTTCCTTCTGAACCTTAGACCTCATAGCAACAGCTTCTCTAGCCTTCTGCTCTGAGACATACAAAGCCTCAGAAAGCTTTGCAAAATTGTCATTAATCTGAACCTCTTGAAGCCCTCTCCCATCAGCAGCTAAACGCTTATCAAGAGGAATGGTGTAACCCTTGGGATTCTTCCAATTTGAAATACAAGGAGGTATCTTCCAGTCCTGCTGATCTTTCACAGTAACAGGCCGAGGAGGCGAATGCATCACCGGCACAGGTGGGGAACCCGAAGCCTTGGGAACACGCTTGTGCTTGAATTTCGGAGGCTCAAGTGGATCCACAGGCATCTCAACCATCCTTATAACCCTCTCCCTAGCACCGGAATTGAAAGCCGCATTCTGTTGTGATGGTTTATACTTTATATACTTAGCATCAGAATTATGTTTAGGAACATTTTTAGGCTGTGCCGCACTAAGCCTCACGTTAACAATCTTCTCAAGAGCAGCTTTCGTGTCCTGCATAGTTTCATCAATCTCCCGTTGAGCATCATCATCGTCAGCATCATCCATATCACTATCTCCATCATTCCTCAGAATCTTGGGTATCAAATCCTTATGCTGCGTGTAAACAATTTTCTTAGCGTTCTCATTCTGTTTGACTATAGCATCATACGCAACATTTCCATGAGCATCAACAGTGACCGGAAGTATCTTAGAGCCAGGCTTTGAAGACTTGTTCCTTCCCATGTCCAGTGGATACTGTGCAACATGGATCTCCGGGAAAGCTCCACCTGTGCCGAAATCCTCGACCTTTCGAGGAACAAACCCAGATCGCTTCATATACGGTGGCACAACTTTGGGGTTGATAGCAACGGAATTCTCCTCTTCCGTTGCGGTGAATCGTTGCTTGAACCATGGATCGTTGGTGTGGTCGTAATAAGTTTTTGAGGATGATTTAGGTTCGGGAAGAAGCTCCTTCAGAGCCGCCATGGCTCTGCGACAAAAACAAATTTCAAAATCAAAAACCTAATACAAAATTGAAACAAAAACAAATTTCGAAATCAAAAACCTAATACAAAATTCGAACAAAAACAATTATTTGAATCAAAAACCTAATTACAAAATTGAAACAAAAAGGAATTTCAAATTCAAAAACCTAATTGCAAAATTGAAACTGAGATTTATAAAATCTCACTTGCCTAAGTTATGAATTTGTTGTTTTGATCCTTCTGATTCTTCAAGAACAATTTGTTGCAGAGAAAAAAGGAACGAGGCGATGGTGCGATTACGATTAGGGTTTTTTTGGTCTGTGAAGGTACTTGAGAATTCAGACTACCACCAAAGTTACATATATCACCTTTTATTATTATTTTGGCTAAATTATATATTACTTTAAATTTTAAGATAATGAAGTGTTATATATATTTAGCGAAAAGTATAGATCGACTAACGGATAAAATAGTTTTACAATATTAACTAATCACAATCATATATATATTTGATTATATTTTTATTTTTATTTTAAATTTTTTTTTATTATCGATTTTCTATTAATTGATTGTATAAAAAAACTTTACATTAACAATGTACGAGTATTATTTTCATATATATAATCTTTTATTTTAGAGAAAATGGAATATGTAATTATATTTTAAAATTATTTTAAACTATCAATCAATTATAATTATATTAAATGTCAAATCATATATTATTTTTAAATAAATTACATAATATGATTAAATAATAAATTTTTATTGAATAATAATATAAAATTAATTTATTTTATCAGTGCATTATCTTTTAATTCTTTACTGTATCTTATCAACGCTAATGTGTATTGAAATTTTAAGACATATTTTCTCTACTTATAAATTATTAATTATTGTTTTAGAAATATATAATTTATATATAAAATAATTGTTTTCTATTAATCAATTATTTTTATTTTATTTTATATTTATTAAATAAAATTAAGAAATTAATTAATATTTCAAATTTTTAAATTAATATTTTTATATCACCAATTTAAAAAGGACAACACTTATAATACATTGTGATCTGGACTGAGCCTACACTTGTCTCTCGGGTAGGAGGTCCAAACCAACATCTTTGTATAAAGCCCAAAAACAGACAACCTAAGTTAGGGACCGTTGGGCAACTCTCCACATATCCGTTGGAGAACGTGGCCCACGTCTTCATGTCAAAGTCATCTTAACTGCCCTTCGGAAATCACGGGTCCAACCCCTATTCTCACGGAGCAGTTGACCAGGGGAGTCCACTTACTGGACTCCATACACACGTAAGCCCTGATAGTTTCCGTTATTGAGCCTCAACGTGGCCCAACAATGGAGACCTTGGCTCAGCGCTGAGGCTATAAACACCCTCTCTTATGAGAGGGTCAAGTATTCCACACTTTTTAACTCTCACGCTTGCTTGCTCATTTCGCAACTTACTTTGGCATCGGAGTGTCTTGCAGGTACCCCCCCCCCCCATCTCACTCAAATTCTGCTCAATGAAATTGTGACAGTCCATTCTGATCAGGTGAGATCAGTGGCGCCGTCTGTGGGAAACTTGCTTCCCCGTCTTCCGTTTACTTAAGACTAAAGCTAAATCATTATTCTGCTGTCATGGCTGATCAAACAGCAGAAAACAACATGAACGTCTGCATCCCCAACGTCAACAACAATGTCGCCGACAATAATGTCGCCGACAATAATGTCGGCATCGACAACGCTGGTACTGCTGGCCATAACACGACCCCCACCGTTAATATGCCCGATCCTTCAGAATATATAGATTGATCAACTGCCTCATCATCATCACTATCTCAACGACTTGAAGACGATCGGCCACCTCCTAAGAACTACCAACTCAACCAGTTCCAGGAGGTCCCCGTTCCCGCCGGGACAAATGTTATGACTAGGGCACTGTTTGCAGCGATAAACCAAACAAATTATCTTATCTTCTCTCAAGGTGAGAGACTGAGGGGGCTCGAAGATGCTCGGAGAGCCCCCATAAGACATAGGAGGCCACATTCTCCTCCTCCTCGCCAAGTAGATGAACGTCCCCAATCTCCCCCGCGGAGACGTAGGCGGGATGCCTCTCGAAGTCCCTCTCCTCGACCAATCGGGTAATGCCTCGCATTGGAGAGGGACCAGCCCGTTGACACGGGGAGACGTGACCACATCCCCTCACGTCAAGAGCAAAGACCCCCTAGAGACAGAAGCAGGGGAAATAACGAACGGCCGTACCACCCGAGGAACGCTATGCGCGACCAGGGCCGTCATAACCACCACTACAACAGATCTCCTTCTCGCTCTCCAGATAGGAGTGACTAAGACGACCCCCACGGTCCCTTGTCACAAGCCATCATGGAAGCACCCATCCCCCGGGCATGGAGAAGCCTCCCCATCTGAAGGAGTACGACGGCATTGCCGACCCGGTCGACCACATAGACGGGTTCGAGGCAATGTTGCATTATCATAATGTCAGAGGATTAATCAAATGTCGATTGTTCCCCACGACTTTGAGGAAAGTTGCGATGGACTGGTACAAGAGTCTCGCCCCGGGGTCAATCACCTACTGCCGAAATTTAAAGAATCAATTCATCAGTTTGTTTACTACTTCACGTCGACGCCTAAAGACTGAAGCAGTCCTCGAGGCTATCATCCAGAGACATGACGAGACTCTGAGGGAATTTATTGATCGGTTCAACCGGGAGGCCATCCAGGTTCCTTGCACCGATCACATGAAGAGATACCTGCTGGAGAGGGGACTCCTCCTGAGCACGAAATTCAGAAAGGTCGTTGGCATCGAACCACCCCGGACATTTGATGCCCTCCTCGAGAAAGCCAAAGCATACATGGACTACGGGGAGAGGGAAGCGGCCATTAGAGCCCGAGACCCCAGGAATCGTGGATCAACCAGTAATCCGCGACAACAAGACTCTGGCCCTCCTCGACGAACTAGCGAGAAGAGGAGGGACGACAAACCCCGAGACCCTCGTGAGCAAAGAGGACCCTCGGGCGGTTTATTGAGTACACTCCGCTAACGACTTCCCACGAGTGCATTTTAGCGGAGTGTGCAACCACGGATTTCAAGGACGGCAGCGTTAAGTGTCCTCGCCCCGCTCCTGTTAAGCCTGGGGTAGATCAGAGAAAATACTGCCAATATCATCGGAGCCCTGGACACTTGACTGAAGATTGTGTCCATTTCAAGGATGCTATTGAGACCCTCATAAAAGGGGGAAGAATCAGGCAATAGCGGCGCAACGACGCCCCCCGTCGAGATACCCGTGAAATAAGGGAGATAGAGGAGGATGCCAGACCATCTGACGAGTCGGTTCCCATCGCATTCTCCATTACGAGACTGGAGGACTTCTACGTCCCCGAACATATGGAAGAGCCTCTGTCCATGCACAGCAGGTGGGAAAGCTTCCCCTCTGCCATGGTCATAAATGGTGGAGGGTTTAATGACATAATTATAAATTTAGCAAAGAGGAAATTGGACGAGCTGGTCGACGTGGCCCCCCCACAAACGGTGACCTTCGAGAGGGTTAAGGGAAGATCGGAGCCAATCACCTTTTACCTTGAGGAATTGCCCGGAGGGGCCCCCAATTCAGCCATCCCTCTTCTGATCAGGGCGAGAATGGCTAACTTTGATGTTCATCGTGTCCTGGTCGAAGAGGGAAGTTCCGTCGACGTGATGTACAACCAGCTTTTCAAAACCCTGCAATTCGACGACTCTCACCTTTCACCATATGTGGGGTCCGACCTGCAGGGCTTTAATGGCTCAACCTCCAATCCATGGGGGTAGGTGGAGCTCATGGTCACCTTCGGTGAAGATACTGCCACTAGGCAAGTCAAGGTGCGCTTCCTGGTCATCGACTGCCCTTCCCTCTACACTACATCCTTGGGAGACCGACACTGGCAGAGTTGACCGCGGTGCCCTCCACCGTCCATCTGAAGATGAAGTTCTACACAAAAAGGGCACATGTCGCCACCATTCAGGGCGACCTAGCAGCTGCCTGAAGATGCTTCAATGCGGTAGCTAAGGGATAAAGCAAAATCGACACTAGGGCACGGCCCGCCAAGAGAGCTGCAACAGCGCGACCAGAGCCACAGCAGTCAGAGCCATAGCCCATCAAGGCAGAAGTGCATAAGGATCCTCCAAAGGTCGACTCAATCTCGTTAGACACCCGCTTCGACCAAGACGAATCACCCAACGAAGAGCAGGGGCTCCTCTGAATAATTCCGGATGGGGACTTCGAGCTCGTCCCTCTCGGTGAACACCCGAACAGAGGGGTGAAGATCGGCACCAGACTCCTCGACCTGGCGAGGAAGCAGATCAAGGTCTGCTTGAGGGAGAATGCAGATCTGTTCGCGTGGAGCGCTGCGGAGATGCCCAGTCTCGACCCCAAGATCGCCTGTCATCAACTCGCCATTGATCCAGCTGCTAGGGAAGTAGTACATGTTGCATCCCAAAATTTACCCTCTTGATTTAGGCTTATATTTCATCATATTGCATTACATTCATATAGGGTGATGGGATCAAGGTATTTTGTTTATCAAGCCTCCCTCAAGCTTTGGAAGATTGATTATATTGACAAGTTGCTCAAGGAGGGCCTTATTATCTAGACCTTTGGATCTTTCAAGCCCAAAGGTATCACATATCTGAAGATATTTTATCCACCTCATTGGTTCATCAAAAAATTGAGTATTGTGTTGTTTATAAGGAGAATCACATTCTTTGGATTCATCAGTCAAAATTAGGGTTTTGCCCAAATTGGAGTAATTGGGGTCTAGATGAGCCAAGTATTGAAGTATCTTTCTCTCATCTTCATTGGAATCAATTTTGTTTAAAAATTTTCTCATGATGCTCAGTGGAACTAGTGTGTTAAAGCTTGAGTAGCTATTTCCTAATGCAGAGTGCAAAACTAGGGTTTGAGTTTTAATCATGTATTCTTTGTAAGTTTGAGTGGAAATTCTTTC